GTTTGTCTTCTCTGAGTTCAAATACGACTTCCTCAGTGATGCTGCAGAAGAAAGAAACAGAAGCTGGTGTTGCCCAGGCTGTGAGGAGAGAAGCTGTCTGCAGAGCACAGGCAGCCAGGGGAGGACAAGGTGTGTCCCTGTGCCCCTTGATATCTGTCCCAAAACACTCCTGTGACGGAGGAAACGAGGCCCTTTGGGCTCTGCTGGATTTATTTCTGTTGGCTGACAGACAAAGGAGACAGAATTTGGTGGCTCCTTCTCATGTCAGCTCTGGAACAGGATGAAAGGGGTAAATACAGCATTTCATCTTGTGGGAAAAGTGTAGGAGCAGTGGTCCAGGAAGGAAGGACCTCAGGGAGCCCAAGGAGGGATCAGATCTATCTACCCCAAAACAGATTGTTTTTAATATCCCCCTTCTCAGGCAGGATCCCCTGTGTTGGTTTTTGTTCCATCATTCACTCCCTGCCCTCAGAAGCCTTTCCCATTTTTTAACGCTGTCATTACTCTGCCATCAGGCTTCTTTCCCCAGGCCAGGTTAAACCATCTCCCTGTGGAGCCTGCTCCTGGTGCCCCTCCCCACCCTGCCAGCCCTGCTTCCTCCACCAGGCTCAGCAGAGCTGAAGAGCAGCGAGGATGAACTTTTGGGTCAGGCCTTGGCAGGAGCTGCCCAGGGAGGTTCAGAGTCACTGGAATTGTCCCAGAGGAGTGTGGATGTGGCCCTTGGGGACAGGGTTTGGGCTGATGCTGGGTGGGACTGGGTGGTCCTGAAGGGCTCCTCCAGCCCTGGTGATCCTGGGATTAGGTTTGGAAGGACAGAAGTGTCCTAGGTGGCATCGACCAGGCTGACAGAATGAGGAAAGCCTGGCATAAACCTCTGTTTACAGCCCGTGGTGCCTTCAAAAGGTGTAATTTTGAACACATCTACAAGTTCCATCTTCATGGAGAATATTGGGAATCCCAGACTGGTTTGGGCTGGGAGGGACCTCAGAGCCCACCCATTCCCAGCCCTGCCATGGCAGGGACACCTCCCACTGTCCCAGGTGCTCCCAATGTCCAGCCTGGCCTTGGGCACTGCCAGGGATCCAGGGGCAGCCCCAGCTGCTCTGGCAATTCCATCCCAGCCCCTGCCCACCCTGCCAGGGAACAATTCCTGCCCAAGATCCCAAGATCCAGCCCTGCCCTCTGCCCCTGGCAGCCATTCCCTGGCTCCTGGCCCTTCAGCCCTTGGCCCCAGTCCCTCTCCAGCTCTCCTGGAGCCCCTTCAGGCCCTGCAAGGGGCTCTGAGCTCTCCCTGCAGCTTCTCCTCTCCAGGCTGGAATTTGACAGTGATCAGTGAATTCTGCTCTGTTCAGGGGAGTTCCAGAGCCTGGTTTCACCCTTGGGTCAGCACGGCTGAAAATCCAACCCACTGCAAATCCTGGTGGCATTTCCATGGCCTTTGTCACGACACTCACCCAGATGGGAGAACAAAGCCCCTCTCTGAGGAGCTGTAACGTGGCTTCAAAAACTGTCCCAGAAGCAGAGGAGCAGAGAGGAGGGAGTGGGAATCAGAGAGGAGATTTGAGTGATGTGGTGGCAGAGTTGACAGGAAAATGGAAGAACTGGAGGTTGTTCATCAGATTCTTTGGTGCTTTCTCCAGTGGGGAATTCTGGGGTTAGTGATGCTCACTGGTGATGCTGCAGCGAGGATTTCCTCTCTCAGGCTTCCCCAGGGGCTTCTCATCCATCTTTGTGATGCCATCGTCATTCCAAGGCCTCAGTGTCTGCAGCAATGGCTGGAGAGAATGCACAGTGAACTTCAGGAGCTCCAGTCCCCAAGGAAGAAACATCTCCAGCACATTGCACACAGGTGGTCCAAAGCCTGTGAATTATTCACAGCTCTTCCTGTAAAGCTGCTCTGTGCAGCTCTGTCTCTCACAGCAGCACAGTCTCAAGGGAAGGAGCCTTGCTCTGCACCCCACTTATTCAATAATAATTTTCTAGGATGATGAATTCTAGAAAATGACATTTTGCCAGGTGGTAATGGCTCTTTCCCAATCTGCCTCAGGAAAAAAAAACAAACCATGAAGTTACAAACACAAGTGTTTGTGGTTAAGAATCAATTTAAAAGCTTTTCTAGAGCTTGGGATGGATATTTCTGAAAGCCTCTCTGGCTCTGCTGTTCAGTGGGACTGGGAGTCAGAACCTCCAGGACCTGCTGGGCAGCAAAGACCCCAAAATTCCCAATAGGGAGAGGGAAAAATGTGGAGCTGGGGGGTGACAGTGTCCCTGATCCCTTGGCTGGTCCTGGGCTCTGGTTTCTCTCTCTTGATTAAATTCTCCCTCCACTCCCTGCCCTGGAAGTGTCTGAACTGTTTCTTTCTCTCTTTCCTCATTGCTCTCTTCTGGAACCTGTTTTGCTGACCACAAGCTCAGACTCATCTCCTTCAGTTTTCCCCACTTCCCTATTCCTTCATCATTCCACTTTCCTTTGCATTTCAGGTCTGAAATCTTTTTCCAAGCACTCCCAGGCCTTCCAAGGCATCTGTTTTCTGCTGGCTCTGCCAGAACACGCCTCCAGCATCCCTCTGTACTCTCAGTTTACATCAGCACATGGTTAAAGTTCACCTCATTTATTGATTTATTGTCACTGTGCTGTCCACAAGCTCAGCTCAAGGTGAACTCTCCTCTGAATTGCTGCTGCCCTCTAAATTATTGCTCCTCCTCTGAAGGATTTCTTCCCTGGGCTCCTGGGGGTCCGCATGTCCCCTGTCCCCAGGCCTGGCTCACGATGTGGCTCTGATGGAAGCTGTGGCCTCTCGCCTACAAAAGCTTTCCTGGGTGTGGGGCAGGAAGGTTTCTGAGGCAAACCAAAGTGCAGGTCAGCCTGAAAAAAAACCATCTGGAGTGATTTTAGCAGCTCCTAAATCCTGGAATTGTCCAAGGCCGTGGGGCAGGGACACCTCCCACTGCTCCCAGCCCCAGTGTCCTGGCCTTGGGCAGTGCCAGGGATCCAGCTCTGGGCACCCTGTGCCAGGATGTCCTTGCAGACACTTTTCCTGCTTCCATCCAAACTCCCAAAATATCCCTGAGCAGCCAAAGCTGTCATTTCTGTTCTGCTGGGTTTCCCTGAGCAATGAGCCCGTGCTGAGGTGGCACAGCCTCATCTCTGCCCGACCTGCCCTCAGCTGGTGGATTCCAGCGTGTTCCAATGTGCAAAGCAGCTGCTGGAGAGAGGAAAGCGGCTCCAGGAGCAGTGGAAGGCAGGGAATCTCCAGCCCCTCCTCAGCTCCATCTGCACCGGGCATTACACCCGAGGGTTTTGCCACTCTGAAAGCCAAAATAAAAGGGGAAATAGAAAATATGGAAAGAAGCTGGTGCAGTGGGAGGAGGGACAGGGAACACACAGGGAGCTGGATTTGTTCCTAGGAGTGGTGATCCAAACACAGGATCAGAATTCCCAGAGCAGCCTTGGGGAGAGGTGGAGAAAAGCACCAATGAAACAAAACACCTTGAAAAAGATCAATTCAATAAATTCCGTGTTCCCTGTTAAAGCAGAATATGACCAAAATTAAAAAGTACAGAAAAAACAGGTACAGATTCCACAGAATCCCAGGATCCCTGGTGCTGGAAAAGCCCTTGCAGCCCAGGGAGTCCCAGCTGTGCCCGATGCCCACCTTGTCCCCAGCCCAGAGCCCTGAGTGCCACGTCCAGCCCTTCCTTGGGCACCTGCAGGGATGGGCACTGCAAAGCTCCCTGGGCAGCCCCTGCCAAGGCCTGAGCTCCCTTTCCATGGGCAAATTCCTGCTGCTGCCCACCCTGAGCCTCCCCTGGCCCAGCCTGAGGCCTGAGCTCTCCTCCTGTCCCTGTTCCCTGGCAGCACAGCCCGACCCCCCTGGCTGTCCCCTCCTGCCAGGGACTTGGGGACACTGGGAAGATCCACCCTGAGCATCCTCTGAGGTGAAAATTGATGGAATCAATTCCTGTTTTCACCCTGCAGCCACTCCCAAACAGGAGATATTTCCACATCAAGCCCCCAGACCGTGCAGTTCCCAGGCTTTGCTCCTGCACGTTTCCTTTTGGTGCCAGAATTTCATTTCTCGCTCTCACTTGGATGCAGTGACACAAAAACCCTGGGCAAAGCTCCCACTGCTGCCCCAGCCTTTACCCACCTGTGAGGTGAGGCTGGATTTGGAACAGGGAGCCACAACTCCTGGGATATTTAAAATTAAGAACACACATCTGTAGATAATTAAAATTAACCTAATTTAACTCCCACTTCAGCTGACGAGTTTCCCTCTGACATCAGCTCATCCCACCCTAAAAACTTCACAACTTTCCATCAAGGAAGAATAAATTCCATAAAATTCCATAGAAAGATGATGCCAGCGGGAACATCCTTGAAAAAACACATCATTCTGCATTAGAAAAAAAATATAAACCAGTTCAGGTCTTTCCTTACAAAATACTATTTTATTTTATAAACATTTTGATTCGTTTTTGCAATAAATAATTTGTCAAAGTAATTAGTGTTATATATAAATATGACATTTTCTTTTTAATGTCATAATCAGTGCCAGAGTTGCTACAACTCCTCAGGGAGCCACAACCAACAGTGGCAAAAGTTGTGGATCATTTAATTCCTTATTTTGAGCCAAGTTTCTTGTACTTAAAAAAATAAAATGATCCTGTCAGAAGTCTGTGGTCACGTGTTTGTGGATTTCTTTCTGCTGGAGAATTCAGCAATGAGATAAACCCAAAAGTCCTTTTGCTTCTTCTTCTCCAAGGAAGAATGAGGAGGATATTTAGGTTTTTCCTGAGGATATTTAGGTTTTTCCTGAGGATATTTAGGTTTTTCCTGAGGATATTTAGGTTTTTCCTGAGGATATTTAGGTTTTTCCTGAGGCTGCTCCCACTCCTGAGTCGGAGGCTCCTTGTGCAGAGTCCTCAGGGTGCTCTGGTGTCCTGCTGGCCTCATCCCCACTCCCTTCACCGAGGCTTTGGGGTTCCTCTGAAATCACAATCAGCTTGTCATAAACCAGGAGTTCTTCGTTTGGAAGTGGAGGGAAAGGCTGCAGAGCACTGGGAGGTTTGCTCAAAAACTGGGAAACAAAGAGGAAGTGAGGATTAGATCTCTCCCACCATCCCATCCTGCTTGCTCAGAAATACTGGGATTATTAAACAACAGTGGGATTGTTCTGCACACATCAAATGGTTTTCCCAGGCCTTCCAAATCCCACAGGGCCAGCACTGTCATTTCCTCCGTAATATTCTGCTCCAGGCTTGGGGACAAGATGGAAATGCCTTTCAAGAATAACCTCAGGGCTCAGAGTCGTTTTTGGAAGAGAAACTTGAAAAAATTCACAGCGTTTTGATTGGGAACAAACACTAAATGGTAACTGGGCTGTAGGGGAAGGAGTTCCCAGACAGATTTGTCAAGGACAATCCCCTGTGGCATTGGGAGCCATTCCCTGGCTCCTGTCCCTCTGTGCCTTGTCCCCAGTCCCTCTCCAGCTCTCCTGGAAGCCTTCAGGCACTGGAAGGCCACAATGAGGTCACCCCAGAGCCTTTCCTTCCCCAGGCTGAGCAACCCCAGCTCTCCCAGCCTTTCCTCACAGATCTGCTCCCTCCCTCTGCTCATCCCCCTGCCCTCAGATGGAACAATTCTGAATTTGGAATAAGAAAAACCAGCTGCTCTGTCAGGAGTGCTGTGCACTGTAGATAATAAAAATCAGCACAAATATCTTCATTATCAGCCCCTTTTCTACCAAACTGGGATTGGGAATGTTGTGGCACAAACCTGCAGCTGAAAGACTCCCAGAGTGAAAGCACTGCCTTGGCCAGAGCACATTTTAGGGAGGCACAGCTGACCTTGGGTTCCTGGGATAGCACCAGGACAAAGTTCTCCCTGTCTTTAGCCTCGAGCACATCCTGTGTGGAGCTGGTGCTGCCTGCCTGGGTGCTGAGCTGCAGCTTCTGCAAACCAAGGGCTGCAGGGCCAGGAGCCAGGGAATGGCTGCCAGGGGCAGAGGGCAGGGCTGGATCTTGGGATCTGGGGCAGGAATTGTTCCCTGGCAGGGTGGGCAGGGGCTGGGATGGAATTGCCAGAGCAGCTGGGGCTGCCCCTGGATCCCTGGCAGTGCCCAAGGCCAGGCTGGACATTGGGAGCTCCTGGGACAGTGGGAGGTGTCCCTGCCATGGCTGGGGGGACACTGGGCGGGCTCTGAGGCCCCTCCCAGCCCAAACCAGTTGGGATTCTGATATTCCATGACACTCCTGGTGACTCACCTAAAGCAGGAGCCAAAGTCAGCTGCAAACCTGGGGGTGCAGAGCTCTGAGTGAGTCAAAATGAAAGCCCCAGAGGAACTGCAGGAGCTCAGGAGAGCACAGGTTGGTGCAGGAGCATTTTGTACATCCTCGTTTCTGGGAAGGGATTCTGCTGCAGCCTCCTTGTCCTCTGGGTGTGTGACAGGGACAGTGGGTGCCCATCAGCAATGGCTGCTGTCACCGCTCCCCAATTTTCAGACTCCATAGGATCACAGATTCCCAGAATGGTTTGGGTTGGATGGGACTCCAAAGCTCATCCCATCCTGCCCCTGCCATGGCCAGGGACACCTCCCACAGCCCAGGCTGCTCTGGTAGAGCTGATCCAGCCCAGGTTCCTTCCTCAGACACTTTCCTGAAGTTCAGCTCCTGATTGCACTCATGACAGGACTTCGCTGCAGGAGAAAATGGAGCTGCTTTAAGTCTAAAAGGAGGCAGGAGAGACAGAGATTTCTGTTGCTCACTGGCTAAATGAGGAACTGAAGTTGACACCTGGTACTTTCTCACTTCAAAATCAACAAACCCATCCTGGTTCTGAGCCATAAAAAGCTGGTGATTACAAATTCCAGATCACTGAGCATCAGGTGCCAGCAAAAGGAGGAAAAACAAAAGGAGCTCTAAATGCTTTGGCACTGAGAGCCTTGAAAAAACAAATGGCTCTGCTGGAAAAGCTGATTTTCACGTGTGAGGCAGGAAACAAACCTCTTTCAAGTGTTCTGGGAAAACATAGGAAGGGCAGAAAACGTGTTTGGTGAGTCTGTAGAGATAAAAACTGGAGAAGAAACAAGCAGTGACAGCTGTGGCCACAACAAGCATTGATCCCACCAGGATAGTCACAATTACCCACACAGGGGTTACACCTGCAAGAGACAAGGAAAAAAAAAACCAATTAAAACTGTCAATATTAATTTCTAAGTAATTCTTTTCAAATTATCACTTTCTCCATGGCAGTGCCCAAGGCCAGGCTGGACATTGGGGCAGCCTGGGACAGTGGGAGGTGTCCCTGCCATGGCAGGAGTGACACTGGGTGGGCTCTGAGGTCCCTCCCCAGCCATCCTAGTGTATGATTCCAGGATTTCCCAGCTCCCCAAGTTACCATTGTGGGTTGTCTGCTCACAGAGCTCCTTGCTCAGCTCCCCTGTCTTGTTCCACTCGGGAATCACCGCCTGCACTCGGACACAATAAACTGTCCATGGCTCCAGCTGGGAGAGGATCTCAGAGTTGTGTTTGGTGTCCACCTGAGCAACCTGAAAACAGAGAAAAACAGAAAAAACTGAAGCATGTGAGAGCAGTGACTTAGCTCTGGAATCACCACGGAATTACAGCTCCAACTGCACCGTGAGACCATCCACACCACCGACCTTTGGGCTCTTTCCAGCAGCACTAACAAAGTTTTAGGCTAATGAGGGTTGATAAGCGATATCTGGTGGCAGCCAGAAACTCACCCAACCAAATGAGATCAGCTAGGAGCACAGTGCCACGCAAACACCATCTCACTGGAGAGGGAGCAAGTGGAAGAAAAGCACAAGAGGAAAAGGCCTCAGGTCGTGCCAGGGGAGTTTTAGACTGGATATTTGGAAAAATTTCTCCACTGAAAAAGCTGTTGAGCCCTGGAATGAGCTGCCCAGAGAAACGGTGCAGTCCCCACCCCTGGAAGTGTCAAAAATGTGTAGATGTGGCACATGGGGGCATGGGTTAGTGGTGAACACAGGGTGCTGGTTAATGGCTGGAACTGATGGCCACAGAGGGCTTTTCCAACCTTCCCAACTCTGTGATTCTGTGGTCTGCCATCTGGACAAAACCAAAAACAAGGAAGAAAATCTCTCTGGGAGCTGCGAGGTGGCTGAGCAGATGAATTTGCTGTTCAGGATCAGTTATGTCCCTGTGACTGCAGGGTATCCCTCAACAGCAGACTCCAGCCAGGTTTCAATCCTGGAGCAGGAACCCACCTCCCAAATAACCTGTGAAGCCACCCAGCCTCTGCCTGCTGCCTCCTCGAGCCCTAGGGAATCTCCAGCCTTGCACTTGGAAGTGTTGCACAGCCTCAAACTGCAGCTCTGCTCCTCTGCTGAACCCAGCTGGTGCATCCCAGCTGCAGGAACAGCTGCTTTCCTCAGGAGTTTGGGAATGGAAAAGCAGTGTGGGAAACCATGAGCCCTCCTTCTCTGGAGCTGAGTGGCAAAGCACCGTGCAGGTAACAGGTACAAATCACAATTACACACAGTGGAGCCCCATTTTATAAAACTGCACTGATGCACAAAGCACTGATTAACTGTGATCACAGCCTGCTGATCAGAGCCTTCCTGTTGGCCTCAAATAGAGACCATCATGCTCTAATTAATACATCACTAATGAGCTTTCTCCATGCACTGTATATGGAGGAGCACCTGTGGAAGAGGCTGTCCTTGAGAGGGAGAAAGGGAACTGCAGAGGATACAAACTGCAGAGCTGCAGGTGACCACACTGAATAAAAGCCTTACCCATTTTTAGATATTTTTGGGAGTAAAAAGCCCAAAGTCCCACTAAGAGGGAAAAACCACAGAGTTATTGATAATTATGGAAAGAGAAAATTCTGTCCATGCTGCTGTTTGATTACACAGCTCCTGTGTTTGCTCTGAGTCCCAGCTGTAGTGACCAGACTTGATTAATTGGCATTAGTAGAGATCAAGTTTTACTCTCACAATCACAGACTGGGTTGGGCTGGAAGGACCTCAGAGCCCACCACTCCTGCCCTGGCAGGGCCACCTCCCACTGTCCCAGGAGCTCCCAATGTCCAGCCTGGCCTTGGGCACTGCCAGGGATCCAGGGACAGCCCCAGCTGCTCTGGCAATTCCATCCCAGCCCCTGCCCACCCTGCCAGGGAACAATTCCTGCCCAAGATCCCAAGATCCAGCCCTGCCCTCTGCCCCTGGCAGCCATTCCCTGGCTCCTGGCCCTGCAGCCCTTGGCCCCAGTCCCTCTCCAGCTCTCCTGGAGCCCCTTCAGGCCCTGCAAGGGGCTCTGAGCTCTCCCTGCAGCTTCTCCTCTCCAGCTGAGCACCCCCAGCTCTCCCAGCCTGGCTCCAGAGCTATGCAACCTCTGCCAGCCCCTCCAGGAGCTCCCAGGACTTTCCCAGGATGGCGTTTTCCAGGAGAAGCGCAGCTGAAGGTCAGGGAGTTGCCATACCCTGGAAGCAGAGGCCAGGTCTGTGTCTGTGCTGCCTTTCTTCCAGTAGAAGATCCTGTAATTCCAGGAGCCATAGTAGTGCCTCAGGGGCCACCTGTCCTGCCCGTGCCCTGCAAAGGGCCCCGAGAAATCCACGTGAAGAGCCCCGGACTCCGACTTCAGCCTCACCTCAGGGGGGCCAACGGTGGCTGCACACAGGGAGAGGAGAGCAGAGGAGGGAATTCAGCTTCAGCTGGCTCAGCTGGATGTTTTTACACAGCCCAAAAGTCCCCCTTTAAAGAAAGTGTTAAAAGAAAGTAATTTCTTTTCCTGGATCAGGCATAAATAAATCCTTTCTTAACAGAAAAAAAAAGGGATTTTATTTTTGCAGTTAAACACCAGGTACCAATGCAGGCTCTATTCCCACACCCTCTAAACAAACTCAGTTCCCTTTTTCCAGCTGTGCTGACTCCAGGAGAGGAAGAACCACTTCCATGGCTTCTGCTCACTTCTCCTTCTGGGCCAAACTGTCACAACATCTGCCTGTCCTGAGCAGACCCCCTAGAAAAGTGTTTTCTTGTGGGGTTTTGTGGGTTTTGATTATGATCAGCTTGAAAAATGGAAAGGTCTGAATTATTTCTGCCTTGTGCAATCAAGATTTCTTGGCTGAAAATTAACCTTTCTCTGTGAGAGTTGGGTTTTTTTTTTGAAGTAAGAAAAAATAAAAATTAAGCTTTCTGTCTGGAAAAGCAATGAATAAGGAAGTAACTGAATTTATTTAGGTGCACAGGAAGTCTGGCTCCTTGAAGACAACTTCTCCCTAGCTAGAGAATAGACACGTGCCTTATTTTAAGAGAAAACGATGCTTTCTTTGATAAATCTCCTCCAAAGGGTTCATCAGCACTGTGATAATGAAACGATTTTGCTTTCTGCCAGCGTCCTGACCAAGACTTCACAGTCCAACCCATAAAACGCTAAACGACAAAAGGCTAAAGGATAAAATCCCCCTGAGCCTGAGAGAGGCGGGTGGAGCTGTGCCAGGCAGTTTTTTGGGGAAGAGCAGGGAGAAGCTCACTGTCATCCATGGGTTTGAAGCGGAGGGTGAGCCAGGGGGAGCGCAGCCGTCCCGCCTCGGCGCGCAGCTGCAGGACGTAGTGACCGTACACGGACAGAGAGGACACGTCGCACTCGGGCAGCCTCAGCCGCGTCCCCAGCGTGTCGTAGCTGTCCCCGGGGATGTTGATGCTGTGGGGAACACAGAGTGGGGGGTGTTGGGGAGGATCAAACAGGGAAACCTTATCAATATGATTGTTTGGCAAAAGATTCTGAAAATGTGAAACTTAGAATCGAAATAGAAATGAAAACCAGCTTTGAGCTATAGGATACTGACTGTTAATCACTATATAACCAAAGAACAATAGCCTAGCCAGCTGAAGGAGAATCCTCATTTATAGAACAATACCCTTCTGCTGATGCTGAATCCAAAGGTCAAGCAGCAAGAGAAGAATTTGAAGAGCAGCTTTTAGAGTTTAAAATGTAACACTGTATGGTAATGAGTAATTCTTATAGGCTGTAAATTCTATAGAATGTGCGTCATGTACTGGTTGGTTACTGGGAGTTAGAATATTCACTATAGAAAAGGATATAATGTATTGTAACAAGAACTTTGCTCTCTTAACTCTTAGCTCTTAACTTCCTCTCTTAACTCTTATTCCCTTCTCCCCTCTTAACTTCCCCTCTTAAGCTCTCTCTTAATTCTTATTCCCTTTTCTTAACTCTTATCCCCCCCTCCCCTCTTACTCTTAACTGCTCCTGCCCTCTCTCTTAAGCTCTGTCCCCCCTCTTAGCCTGCTCCTTTGTTATAGATACATTTTATATTGTTGGCTTTTTGCAAATATTAAAATGAATGTTATGTGTTTAAGAATGAGAAATTTTGTTGTATTAATACAGTTTTCTTTATTTCTGTTATTGATGAAATTTAGAAATAGTGGTATAATACATGTATGTTAGGCTATGGCATAGTATTAAAATAAAAACTGCTTTTGTTTGTGTAACCCAAAGAGTGAGGAAAAAAAATAGCTAGAGAACTCTTGCATTTGTAAACTCTCTTATCCAGATGAGACCAGCAGTGACCAGAACTCTGGGGGAGGAATTTATTGCATTTCTGGTATCAGGGAATGTAAATCTCGATGGTACCAAGAAGATTGATCTATTGGGAAGGGGGCAAGAGAAAACTAAACAGAAGAACACCAAAGATCCTAAGAAGAATGTCTGAATATGTATGAGAATTTATGGATCTGTAGTAGGGTTCTGTTTTTAAGGGACAATCCTTTGTTAGTAAGGTGTGCTCTCTTGCCTGAATGCAGAGACACATAGCTGTATCTGTATACTTTATTTTTTCTCCTAATTGTCTTTTTTATTAAACTTTTAAATTCTATAAAAATTATGTGAACCTCATTTTTCACATCCCTCAATCCCCACTCCTCTCTCACTCTCTCCTGCCTTCTTCCCCCCATGCTCCCTGACTCCCCTCCCCTCTCTGTCCCTGACCATGTTTACACTGTGGCTGGCAGTGGGCAGTGATCCCTTCCTCCCTCTGCCTCAATAATAAACTGATTATACCTGGACAGCCTGACCTGGGAGAAGTCTCTCACCGTGGGTTTGGTGCCATAATAGTGGGGGATGTTATAGATACATGTTATATTATTGGCTTTTCTCAAATATTAAAGTGAATGTTACATGTATAAGGTTAGAAAACTTTGTTGTGTTAATACAGTTCCTTCTATTTCTGGTATTGATGAAACTTAGAAATAGTGGTAGAATACATATATATGTTAGGCTATAACATGATATTAAAGCACAAACTACTTTTTGTTTATATAACCCAGAGAATGAAAAGATGGTCAGAGACCCCCCCTGAATTCTTAAGATTATCTTGTCCTCCAAGACCTCCAAGAGAAGGATTTATTGCACCCTTATCAGAGGATATAAAACCCAGTGGTGCCAAGAAAACTGATTTATTGGGAAGGGGGCAAGGTGAAAACTGAACAAAGGAACATCTAAAACTTAAGAAGAATGTTTGAATATGTATAAGAATTTATGAATCTGTAGTAGGGCTCTGTTTTTAAGGGACAATCCTTTGTTAGTAAGGTGAATGCAGAGACACCCAGCCATATCTGTATATTTTACTTTATTTTTACCTCCTAATTGTCTCTCTATTAAACTTTTAAATTTTATATAAAAAATACAAACCTCATTTTTCACAGGGGAGCTGGCTGAATGGCTTTAAAGCAGCAAGGTGAGCAGTTGGGTGTAACAGGGGTGAGGAAGGGGTACAACACTTCAAACAGCCACTTTTAGTGGCTAAAGCCTCTCTTTCATGTTACAGCCTATTTTTATATAGTTTTTAAAGACTTTGTGGTTAATTTTAATTGGTTAGTAATTTTTTTGCCACTTGATTAATTATTTAGAAGGTGATTGTGTGTGTATGTGTTAAGACTCTCTCCTCAACAGGCCTTTACATATTTTTTAAATGGATTCTCATGGGGTAGACTTTTTATTTTTTATAGGTGCAACTAGTTTTTCTTATTAGATTGTTATGCAAATTGATTTTCATTCTTGTGATTTTTTTTTTTTTTATGGGAACTTAACATGCTAGCTGTTAATTTAGCTGAGCAAGGCCTGATTTTATAAGGCCTTTCCTTTATAAGGTTTTATCTGTGTGCAACATTAGCACTCAAGGACATAAAAATGTATCCAGTGTAAGACTCACACTAAGGTTTTACAGCTGTCTATAAATCCATGAGAAACTTAGGGATTAAAATTGTAATTTTAATTAGAATTTTGGGGTGACAGCAGCCCATTCAGCAAGCAGGAGCTCAGAGAAGCCGACAAACACCCAGCCAGGGCCACTGCAGGGCACTGCTGTCCCCTTGGGACTCTGCTCAGAGCTGTCCCCAGGGTTTGCACACAAGGACAAACCAGAGAAAACAGGGCTGGGAAGTGACCAGGAACTGCTTATGGAATAGAACCACAGCAAGTGTGGGCTGGAGGGACCCCAAATCCCACCCAGAGCCCCCCTGCCATGGCAGGGACACTTCCCACTGTCCCAGGTGCTCCCAGCCCCAATGTCCAGCCTGGCCTTGATCAATACATGATTTAACAGATGATATTTAATATATTTTAGTCTTTCTGCTTTGCATCGAAAGCCTGCGCAGAAATGTACTGATCAAGGGACCATGGCTACAGAACCCAGGAAAATCTCTCAACTAAGCTTGAAGAGAAGGCTCTGGGTATGACTCAGAGCTCCTTCCAGTGCCTGAGGGGCTTATCAAGGAGAGGGAGGACTTTCCTATGGGCAGAGAGTGCCAGGAGCCAGGGAATGGCTGCCAAGGGCAGAGGGCAGGGCTGGATCTTGGGATCTTGGGCAGGAATTGTTCCCTGGCAGGGTGGGCAGGGGCTGGATGGAATTGCCAGAGCAGCTGGGGCTGCCCCTGGATCCCTGGCAGTGCCCAAGGCCAGGCTGGACATTGGGAGCTCCTGGGACAGTGGGAGGTGTCCCTGCCATGGCTGGGGGGGAATGGGATGGGGACGGGATGGGATCCATGGGATGGGATGGGATGGGATGGGATGGGATGGGATGGGATGGGATGGGGATGGGATGGCTGCATCTGAGAGCTCAGGGACGGGCAAACACTCAGCACAACCAGGTCTCTTCCATCACGGATAAGAGTGATTGAGAGTGATTCTCCATGAGACAGAAAATCCACACACACAGCCAGTGTTAGAATGTGCTTGTGGTTCCAGAACAAACAGGACGAAGCTGCCCTGGGTGTGAATGCCCAGAAAATGCCTGTGCCCTGTCCTCCAGCTCTGCAGAGAAGCCTCTCACAAGCTGAAATAAAGGGCCAGCTCCTGACTGTGCTCTGGAAGGACACAAAAGCCAAGCACACAGAGCTGTAAGATGTGGATTACAGCCAGCCCAGCCCCAGACCTACCTCTTGGATCGGACAGTGTAGGTGATGTTCCCTTCAGGGAACCTTGGTGCATCCCACTGCAAGGTGCTGTGAAGATTGACTGAAGTGATCCTTGCGTTTCGGGGCTTTGGGATCATTCCAGAAACTGGGGGAGGAATCAGAACCAAACATTGCAGTGTTTGCTCCAGCACTTCTCACTCATCCAAAATTCAAATGCAGCCTCTGCCTTGCCTGAGGTGCTTATGTAGAACAAAGCCAAATTAAATTAATTTAAATCCTGATGCCTCCCCTGCCTCCTTATGCAACAAAACAAATTACTGGCACCAGTGACTTCCAGTAAGTTCTTGTGACACCAACATTTCTTGTGCATGACTGAGCTGGTGCTGCCCAGGACTCAGGGCATGAACTCTCCCTGAGACTGTCAACCCCAAATTTCTCTAAGCAGTGCTCCAGCAGCACTGTGGGAATAACAAGGGCGTGGGGATTGATAAACAGAGATAAATCAGAAGCACCTCTGAAGGTAATAGAGATATTACATATAATTAAATATAATTAAGTATCATTAATCAGCATTATTCACAAGTGACAAAACCCCAGTTGCTGTCCTTTCTTGGAACTGAATAAAAGAAACCCTAAAATCGTGTAAAGTATCAATGAAAAGTCCATTACTGTTATGATTTATTCTTACACAACTGTAGGTATTGAGACAAGAATAGCAAAGATTCCAGCCCATTACTGCACCACAAATGAGCAATGCAAACAAACCCTGCCAGAGCAGTGCTTAAATGTCACACAAGTCACACCTGATGACAGTTGATCTAAGATAAATAACACATTTTCCATGTCTGTAGTTCACAGAATCATCAGGGCTGGATGAGCCCTTCAAGGTCACCCTGTGTCACCCCCACAACCAGCCCTGAGCTGTGTCCCCAGCTGACACAGAAATGAATGAAATTCCTGTGGCAGTCACCCCCCTCTGGCAAGGATGAGTTTGAAATCTGAACCTGGCTTAAACAAAACCTATTTCAGACTCTGTTTTTACAGTGTTACTCTTGCACTCAACAACCAATTCAAACACAATGCACATCACAAATCCAGAAGTTCAAATCACACACTGGTGTGGGCTGGAGAGACCCCAAATCCCACCCATTCCCAGCCCTGTCATGGCAGGGACAGCTCCCACTGTCCCAGCTGCTCCCAGTGTCCAGCCTGGCCTGGGGCACTGCCAGGGATCCAGGGGCAGCCCCAGCTGCTCTGGCAATTCCATCCCAGCCCCTGCCCACCCTGCCAGGGAACAATTCCTGCCCAAGATCCCAAGATCCAGCCCTGCCCTCTGCCCCTGGCAGCCATTCCCTGGCTCCTGGCCCTGCAGCCCTTGGCCCCAGTCCCTCTCAGTTCTCCTGGAGCGCTGCCCCTCCTTTGAGGGTGAGATCTGAGGTAGGCATGCAAATTGCCAGGAAAAAGAACATTTCCTTGCAAGGCTCTCTTCCTTCAGGTAGTGCTTCCTACCTGAGGAGTGGTCAGGTATACTGGGCACTGTGGAGCCAAAGAGATGAGGAAATTCTGGGGTTTCAGGTTTGTGAACAGCCCTCGCAGCCCAGGGAGTCCCAGCTGTGCCCGATGCCCACCTTGTCCCCAGCCCAGAGCCCTGAGTGCCACGTCCAGCCCTTCCTTGG